TTCCCTCTTCTTCCTTTGCATCCCTTCACTTAACTACACACTGGCCTAGTGTAACTAAATCCTTGAACCTTGCTTGAAAGAAAAAGGGGAGAGCCTCTTTCCTTCAGCCCAGCCAAGTTGCATATGACTTGGGTCCATGCTTTGTTCTAGTTTGCCTGTTATTAGTTACGAGGGAGGCGGATAAGGTGAAGAGGAGGTTCTAGAGGCATTAAGTGTAACACAAAAGAAAGCTTCATCCCTGGATGAAGGGTTCATGAAACACAAGAAAGCATGTGGATTTCCCATGATCTCCAATGACCTGAATGGTGTGTAAAGGCTTGTCCATGCGTGGTCAGGGGACAACAGATTCTCTCCCGTCTCTGCTCTGTGGCTCACTCTCACTTCCATTTGTTTTTTTTAAACACAGTGACTTGTTTCTGCCACCTCACATAAACCATCCCTGGAACTGGTTGAGGTCTGGTTGTTAGCATGATGTTCAAGTTATGCTGAGGACTTTCACCTTCAGTTAAACACTGTCCCCTGCAGAACCTCTAGCCAAGATGGTTTTCCTTTTAGCACTTGGCCTGTGCTTTCCATGACATCTTGTTCCCAGGATTCTTCCCTTGGCTCATGGACTCTAGGCCCCCAAGGTGTTACCCGCCATATCAGCAACCCATTAGCTATGTTTGACTCCTGTAGCTGCTAAGGAAAGTCACCCCAACAGAGATCTGTCTGATGGCCCAGGCATCTGGGCAATGGCCACATAATACAATCTGCCTGTTAGAATCAAGCCAGAAGACTCTGGGGCCCAAGCACCACATGGGAACAAGGCTGAAGGCACTTTTTGCAGAGCACAGGAGCCAAATGCTATGCATGGAGTCAGTTTAGGAGTGGGTGGCAAGAGGTAGGAACAGCGGTCTCCAGTGCTGGCCGACTCCCTCGATGGAGGTCACTTTCCGAGGTCTGGATGCCTCCAATCAAAGGTCACATCAAATGCACTCACTGAGAGCGTATGAGAATCACGTTACCCAGAGGAGGCTGCAGGAGACTAGAGTCAGCAGCTGTGAAAAGGCTCAAAGGCCAAAGTGCTACAAGTATACGTACTACCTCTGGTGGTGCCTGTCCCTTACATGGTCCTTCTTGTCTCCTATTCTAAAGCAATGTTAGGATGAAATCTTTTAAAGTTTTTGTTTATTTACGCGCGTGCGCACGCATGTGCGTGCGTGTGTGCGTGTGTGCGTGTGTGTGTGTGTGTGTGTGTGTGTGTGTGTGTGTGTGTGTGTGTGTGGTATACATGTGAGCAGAGGTGACTATAGAGGCCAGATGTATCAGATGCCCCTCAAGCTGGAGTTGCAGGCAGTTGTGAGCCTCTGCACATTGATTCTGGGAACTGAACTTGGGTCTTCTACAAAGGCAATGTATGTTCTTGACCTCTGAGCCATCTCTTCTGGCTCAGGATGAAAATAATTAAACAAAGAACACTTGATTATTGAGGATCCTGGTCATTCTGCCAGGAATGTCAGGGAGACACAGCCGGGCACTGACACATTAGTCTCCCTCCTAGGACTTCTACTCAGGTAAAGCCAGACCTTTGTCAATGATGCCTCTATAGAACAGAATTTAAGGACAAGTCTAAGTTCTGAATGAGTCCTGAAAGAAAGACATTTAGCATTATGCCTGGTAGAATACATTAAGAATTCAAAAACATTAAGGGGGCTAGGGAGATGGGAAGATAGGGAGATGGGGAGATGGCTCAGTAGGTAAAGCCCTTGCCTCAAACATGAAGACCTGAGTTTGGATTCCCAGAGCCCACACACAACCAGGTGCAGTAGCATGCATCTGTCACCACAATGAGATGAGAGATGGGACTGGAGAATCCCCAGGAAGTTCGAGAGTCAGCTAGCCCTGTGTGTGTGTAGAAAACAACAAAGAAACCTTGCCTTGAGTAGAGTAGAACTCAAGGACTGAACCAGGATGTCTTCTGATATTTATAGGCACAGTGTGTCATGTGCCAGCAGTCACACACAGACATGTATGCCAAACGATTTTTAAAAGAGAATTCAGAAAACACTATTCCCACATTAACAGTTAAATCATCATTGGAATCATTTTAGACTACATAATTAGGACTGGAGAGATGGCTCAGACATTAAAGGCCAGGCTCACAACCAAAAAGCCATTAAGACTACATTATTAGCATCATATTTATTTATTTACTTATTTTTAATAACCTTTAATTATAATGGAATGACATCATTCCCCCCTTCATTTACCTCCTTCAGCCCCTCCCAGCTATTCTTCCTCAAACCTCTCCCATGTCCCCAACTCTCAAACTGATAACCTTTTTCTTCGATTATTCTTGTTATATACATAATATGTGTGTACATATACATATGTGTATGTGCAAATAAATAGGTATAAATACAGCCTGTTGAGTCTGTTTTTGTTGGTGGTGTGTATATGGTTTCAAGGCTGACCACTCAGAACTGGACAACCAAGAAGGAGGTGCCCATCCCTGGGGAAAACTGATATTTTGTTTTCCCAGAAGTCAGTAGATGCCCGTGGTCCTTCATTTGGGGCCCCGTGAAACGTTCCCTTTCTATGCTAACATGTCTGTTGATATCACTGTTGTTCTGGCCCTGTTTAGTTAGCATGATGTTTAAATAGAAATAATATTAATGTAGACTTAATCCGGGGCATTACAGAGGGGAGGGGGGCAGGGAGAGAGATTTAGGAAAAGGAGAGGACCCACTGGAGACCTTTGAGGGTCACACTCAAGTGTCTTTACAATGGAAGTGTGTGTGTGTGTGTGTGTGTGTGTGTGCACGTGTGTGTGTGTAAGAGAGAGGGAGAGAGAGAGACTATGTTTTTCTTTTTGGTTTTTCCAAGATAGGGTTTCTCTGTATTGTTTTGGAAGCTGTCGGTCCAGCCCTGCCTCGAACTCACAGAGATCCGCCTGCCTCTGCCTCCTGAGTGCTGGGATTAAAGGCGTGTGCCACCAACGCCCAGCCGAGACTATGTTTTTCTAAATTACATTGTTTAAAAGATAGAATTTTCAACAAGGTTTAAAGATTAGTCAAAGTTTTAAAATTAAGCGAAGTTTATAAATGAAGTAAAAATTTGTTATTGGTTTTGCTTATTTCACTTAAGGACTTTTCTTTCATCAATGACAACTGTGGGGTGGCTTTGTGAGATGTGTGGTTTGGGTTTAGATTCAGCGTGACAACAAGTTAAATGCAAGGCTATTGACATTCTGGCCCCCAGTCAGGAAAGTTTGCTTTTTAGCATCCTTGCTGGAAATGTCTGTAGGAAAGCGAGCATTAGCTTTGTAGGCAATCTTGGTTTTATCAGTTGCGTTGAAGTTTCTTGACTCTAAGCCAGCAGAAAATACAAACTGAACATCAGGGTGAGGATGTCGTCCCTTTCCCATGCCCCCTTAATTTTCACAGCCTTTCTGTCTTGCCACAATGCCAGGTCCCGAGACAGGGAGTGGGTGAACTTACCCAGACTGATAAGGTGTAGGCAGAGATGACACACAGAACATAGGGCCCCAGGAGTCAGAAACAGGGCTCAGAAATGGAAATCGCTTCATGGAAACTAAACAGAACTTTATCTCTTCTGTGGAGACAAGAAGGAGCAAGAGCCATGTTGAATGTATGACTGTAGCACTGGAGCCAATACCGTGTGGCTGAGTACATGGCTGTGGTTTGCAGCAGGCACAGGGAGTGTATTAGTTACTCTGCCATTGCTGTGACAAAATTCCTAACAGAAACAGCATAGAGAGGAAAGATCTGTGGTAACTGGCGGTTCTGAGGGATTTTAATCTATCACAGCAGGGAAGACATGGGGGGCAGATCCACTCACAGTGAATGGAAGCAACTGTTCATCTAGAGCCTCATGAATGTTAGTCTACCACTAAGCTGTGCCTCCAGCCCTAATTGCTGTCTTTCACATTTCCTTCCAGATGTTTGTGGCCTTGGGCCTTTGAGTCAGACGTTGGAAGAGGTCTTTGGGTTCATCTGCTTCAGAAAGAACAGGGACAAAGTTTCCTGCAGCCCAGCCAGGAGTGTACCCCAGTCATTGTAACAAAGTTTCCTTGAGTCACAGAGGATTTTCCTTGCCCCAGGGTTTAACCCTAGACAGTGGTCTGCTCACTTGTGCCTGGGGCTCTGCCCATATTTGTAAGATGTCAAGAAGAGGTCTGGGGATGTAGCTTGGCTGGTAGAGTGCTTGCCTTGCCTGCTTGAGGCTCTGGATTCAATCCCCAGCACTGAATAAAAACCAGGCATGAAGGGGATATGCCCGCAATCCCAGCACTTGGAGGTAAAAGAAGGAATAATCAGAAGTTCTGGTTTTCTTTGGCTATATAGTAAGGCTAGCCTGGGTTACATGTGGCCCAGTCTTAAAAGAAAAAAACAAGTTTGTAGAGGGGCTCAGGAGTGGGTCATAGACTGAAAAGCGTGTGTTTGTGTAACTGCTGTTTGGCAGGTGGGATCACAGTGTACAGGGAGAACTAATAAGAATCTGTGAAGCTCTGAAATTGTGTGTGTGTGTGTGTGTGTGTGTGTGTGTGTGTGTGTGTATGCTAAGCACCTTGAGGTCCCCAGATGAAAGGTTTCTTTAAAGTCAGAACCCTAAGGAACGATAATAAGCTCTGTTTTGGGGGAAAGGCTTTGGCTCTCCAAATGTTACTGACCAAGGCCTTGTCATCTTCCCACTCCCTCAGAGGTATAAATAACCAAATGACTCCTGCTGTGGGATATAATTTTAACTAGGCAAAGATGGGTTACATTTGTTTATGCTGTGGACTATTAACTGTGTAAAGGTGTGTTACATTTGTTTATGCAACATTTGTTTAACAAGGTAAGGATGTGTGTTTAATTATGTAAAGATGTGTCATTTGTTGCACCTTGCCTGCCTAAGGTACCTGATTGGTGTAATAAAAAGCTGAACAGCCAATATCTAGGCAGGAGAAATGATGGGCGGGGCTAGTAGGCAAAGAGAATAAATAGGAGGAATCTAAGGAGATGAATGAAAGGAAGAAGAAAGAAGAGAAGGAGGAGGAAGAGAGGGACACGCCCTGGACCAGCCAGGCAGCAGGGCCCAAGAAGCAGTGAAAGTAAGATATGCAGAAGGAAGAAAAGGGAAAATCTCCAAGGCAAAATGTAAGTAAAGAGAAACAGGTTAAGTTAAAAGAGCTAGCCAGAAATGAGCCTAAGCTAGGCTGAGCATTCATAACTAATAAGAAGACTCAGTGTCATAATTTGGGAGCTGGTCGATGGCCCAAAAGAAGAGGACCTACTGGACTCCAGTGAGAAATCACAGAAAATATTATAGAAAGCAATGTGAACGTAAAATTCTACCAGGTAAAGATTTCTAGAATGTTCTGTTCTTGTGCTTTAGTGTCATTAGCTAATACTGTTGGCTAGTTCTTTATATGTGAGTGCCAGAAATAAGAAGGATCTAGAAACTTCTGGGGGTAGGGGTCAGAAAGAAGGTCTTCTCACTCACCTTTCTTCTTTAGGTTCAGAACTAGACAAGTTTCCCCAGAGGGAAATACATGCTATTTTCAATGTTTTTTTTTTAAATTGTGTATGTGTGCCTGTCTGTGCATGCATGCGTGCGTGCATGTGTGTGTGCATGCATGCATGTGTGTGTATACACATGTGTGCATTCATGTACTCTCAGGAGCATAAAGATTAGAAAACAACCTTACGTCCATTTCTCAGCCACCATGATCCACTTTGTAAAACAGCAACAACTGCAAACACCATCAGCAACAGACTAAAGCTTATAGGCTTGGACATCATCAGTTTAGGCTGGCTGGCCCACTAGCCCCAGGGATCCACATGTCTTTGTCTCTCCCAAACCAGGGTTACAGGCATATGCCACCAAGCCCAACTTTTTATGTGGGTTCTAGGGATCAAACTGAGGTCCTCGATCAAGCATGCTGCCAACTGAGCTATCCCTGCAGCCCCAATTTTCAGTGCTTTTGAGATCAGTTATTGATCTCGGACATGACTTAAAACCATAGCACTGTTTCTATTAGCAAAGTCTGAGAAGTGTTTAAGTACCAATCTAGTTAGACTGAAAAGCTACAAAGTAAAATAATATGCAGCCATTTAAAAGACTGAAGTCAGTGTTTAGATATAGGAAAGTATCATTGTTACAGTGTTAAAATTAAAAGGTCTCGTAACAATGTATAGTAGGATCCCATTTTGAGAAATTTGTGAATAAATACATGCTGAGCTGTGTCTATTGACCGGGGATGTCCTTCTGTGTATATGTTTCTCTTATTGGTTGATGAATAATTTGCTGATTGGCCAATAGCCAGGCAGAAAGCATAGGCGGAGCTACCAAACCAGTAGAAGGCTGGGTAGGAGGACAGAGAAAGAGCGGAGGAGGGACACCGTGTAGAGACTGGAAGGATAGGACGTGCCGGTGATCTCTGGCAAGATAAGGCCATGTACAAATACATAGACTACTAGTTATGGGGTAATAATTAAGAGAGAGTTAGCCAGGAATTAGCCCTATCTATCGGCCAACAGTTTATAAATTAATATAAGTCTTTGTGTGTTTATTTGGGGCAAAGCATCTGTGGGACCAGGCAGGACAGAAACCTCCATCTTCAGTCTATGGTAACTATCCCTGTCTGTAAGAGAAAAAGGCTTACAAAAGACATGGTTAGTCTGTGTGGCATAATGCCACATTGATTGGAATCGTAATGAAGTAATAAATACCTTTCCGGTAAGAATTCTCCATCCATCTTAAATTATACTCAGCTCTGGACTCTGGAGCCTGAATGCCCTGTTAGTGAGTAAAGAGTGCTCTAGCCCACACCTCCTACCCAGAGATGACGTCGAGAATATTTCTTTCTTTCTCCCTCTGTCTCTTCTCCTTCTCAGTTAAGAGTTTTGGCTTGAAGCAAACGAAAACTCACCTCAAGTGAGAAACTGGGACTTGTTGGAAAGACTCTAAAGGAAGAGTTAAGCCCTGGCCGCAGCGAGTCTGGAATGAGGTCCACTGACAGGGTCTCCACGTAGGAACCCACCCACCATCATGATAGGTTCAGTGTCAGGTGCCACGGGACACAGCCTTTACTCAGGTGCAACAGTCTTTTCAAGTCACTGTGGGCCTGGACAGGAGTCAGATCCTTGGGAAAGAGAATCTGCCCGGTCTCTGCAAACATGGGGCAAATGTGCGTCATTATAGACTTATAATACCACCATGCCAAAATAGTACTATATAAACGTTGCTAATGAGCTCACAATCCTTACAACTGTGCCATCGGCCTTATGAATGCTGTGTTTGAACCAATGGAGGCAGTCAGCTGAATTCCCACAGCTCCCTGCTCCTTACTTGGTGTGTAGTATGTGCTCAATAAAGACTGAGCTGAGCCAGCACCTCACAGCAAGGCCTTGAAGTCTTGGGATTAGGGAAGGGTTTGCTACTAACTGTTTTTGATTATGGGTAAACTGGGAGCTGTATAAAACACGAATCACCATTTCTTTTGCTGTGATAAATACCACTACCAAAACAAATTAAAAGAATTTAAGGAAGAAAAGTGATTTACACTTTCAATTGCAGGTTATAGTCCATCATTATGGGGCAGTCAAGGCAGGAGCTTTAACCAGCTAGTTACATCACATTCACAGTCAAGAACACAGAGAGATAAATGTATACATGCTTGCTTGTACTCGGCTCCGTATCTCTGAGAACCCTTGTTTAGTTCTGGACCTCCTACCTAGGGAACGGCACTGCCTCCCACAGACATGTCCGCAGACCAGCCCGGGGAAGACAATTCCTCACTAGGGCTCTCTTAGTAGGTGAGTCTAGATTGTGTCTAGTTGACAAGAAGCTAACCGGCACAAACACCTAGGAGTTCCTTGGGGACTCAGATCCCTGGTTTAGTGTTCTGCTATTTGAATAACCCAAATGTTTCGGGTCAAAGTCATATGAGAGGAAAAGAGGACCTCGCCAAAGGTGTCATACTCATGAGCTTGGGGACAAAACGTTCTGGCAGAAGCAGTCACTGCTGCCCACTCACGAAGCATATGAACGGCTTTACTCGTTGTTTGATAAGGCTGGGTCAGTTTAGCGGAGAAAGAGCAGCCCTACCCCGAGCTCTCTATGCAGAAACACGCTGACCTGACCACTCTGCTCTAGGTCACTGTACTTGTCATAGGAGGTGTCATGACTAAAGCTATTTGCTGTGTGGGTTTCACTCTAGTCTTTTGCCAGCCAGGAACTCCTGTGCCAGACAGCTCGCCAGTCCCCTCACAACCCTCCAATTTTGACTTGCACTCACTTTATGACTCACAAATGCATTCAAGCGACTGGGTCTCTTACCTTCACCACTGAGGGCTTCCTTAATTCTTCATAACCTGACCCAGTGGGACAGAGTCCTTCCCCACCTCTCACTCCCTGCAGTCTGGCTTCTAGAAACCTTCCCACTTTGTTCTCTGCAGTTCCCTGATGAGGTCTTTGTTTCTTGCTCCTATGCTGGGTTCTCTGAGAGCACCATGGCCAGCAGGGTGAGAGAGTGACAACTTGGGGGAGGTTAGAAGACAGTTCTGCTCAACAGGACTCTGTAGCCAGTGTGAGCTCAAACTTTGAGAGTCTGACTCTGAGTAGTTTACTTTAGGCATGTTTAAGAACAGCACAAGTTGGTGAAAATTTTCGTGGTGATAAATAGCTCACAATCCCATGTGTACAGTAGAGCTCAAGACATGACTATATCAAAACTCTTTGTAAAGTAAGGTGATATCTTCCATAAAGATGGTTTCAATAGGTTGTCTGAGAAAAACAAGCTCATGGTAAGGGGAGGGGGAGTAACCGCTGTGGTCTCAGCCACACAGATGGTGAGAGGTCACCAGGCTGTAAAACATGTCTGCTCCCAGCCTTCTGGGTAGAAAACAGGTCATGGATCTCTCCCTTTGAGGAGACAGCGCTGTGTGTTTAACAGTCCTGGTTCCCCTAGTGCGTATCTGTGAGCACAAGGCCCTCCTTACCTTCCATACTCCTAGACTTCATGGTGGTTACAGTGTGCCTACCCAGACACCTCCACTCCTCTTGCTGTGCTTGGCATTTCTGGTCTTTGGATTGCCTCTATCCAAGCTATCTTTCTGCCAACTTAGCCAAGAAAACATCTTCCCTCTGCTGGTCAGCTCTTTGCTTTTTGCAGGGGACTAAGAAAAAGACAGAGGTGAGAATAGAAGGGAGGGAGGGAGGGAGGAGGAATTGGTTTGTAAACAGTTTTTCTCACTCCCATCAGATGGGTAACAGGAAAGGCACTGGCTGAGATAAGTGTGAGAACAGATGTGGTGTCACAGTGACCTCAGAAACCCTGGTCCTCTTCTCTTACACAAGATCATATGCGTCTACGCTCTGGGTTAAGATTCACTTCCAGAAACTGGCTCTTTGAGAAAATCTCAGCATTTCAGTCCAGGTGTGACCCTTGGTCTATTAAAAAAGCTATTGTGCTTAACATCTTTTTTTTTGTAATTTTTTTTTGTAAATTTGAGATGAAGTCTTTATAGTCCAGAATATCCTGGAACTTGCTATGTAACCAAGGATAACCTTGAACTTTTTAAAAAATTATTTTATTTTTTAAAGATTTATTTATTACATATACCTGCCATAAGAGGGCACCAGATTGAATTACAGATGGTTGTGAGCCACCACGTGGTTGCTGGGAATTGAACTCAGGACCTCTGGTAGAGCAGTCTGTGCTCTTATCCTCTGAGCCATCTCTCCAGCCCCAACTTTGAACTTTCGATGCTTCAGTTTCCTGCTAGGGTGACAGGTGTGTGCCTCCATACCTCATTGTATGTGTTGCTGGGGATGGAACCCAAGGCTTTGATTATTCCAGCACACTACCAACTGAGTCACACCCCTAGCTCCTGTTTAATGCTATCTTAAGGTGGGAATTTTCTTCAGTGACTGGAGTCAAAGTTGTGCCCTGTGAGTATTCCCAAATCTTCCAAGTCATCTGTTCAAGGGCAAGAAAGGGTGGATTGTGAGCTGACCCTCACTTTTTCTTTTTAGATTGGGGTGGGGGGGGTGGTCATCCTCAATGTGCAGCCCCAGCTAACCCAGAGCTCACAAAGATCTGCCTGTTCCTGTCTCCTAAATGCTGGGACTAGAAGCCTGGGCCACCACACGTGGCCTACTGCTTGCTTTTAGAAGGTGTGCGCTGACCAAGCACAGAGTCTCTTCTGATTTTGTTGTGATCGTTGGACATAGCAGCAAAATCGCCACTCTCAGTCTGTTTATGGATGCTTTTTGCTCCGTGGTCAATGCTGAGCCTGGGTGTTTTTGAAACTCGATGGACTGCTATCAATTACTACATGATGACGACTGTCCA